AAAGGCCGTCTACTAAGTGGGCATCCAGCTCCCTCATCTGGAGACCTTAGTCTTTAATTCAACAGCTTCAGTAATAGTGCTGTATTGCAACTATATTGCAGTGAGTCACAAAGTAGCACATAACTTATTTTTGTGAAATTACAAAAGGACCTAATTTAAGGTTATGAGCTGCAAGATATCCACATGGCTCGTCTACAGAAACGGCTAACGTCAAAGGTCCTAAAATCCTTTCATATAAAGTTGAATTAGTAAGGTAAGAATAATTACAACTTGTTACTTTCAATTTCATCATCTGCAATCTGTGCTTTCCTCCTTTAACACTGTATTTTTATTTCCTGTGTAGCTGAAGGTGTTTGGAAAATTCTACAGGTGATCTGTAGTGAGACAGATCACCTGTCCAAGCAGTTTCTTAGCTCAGAGACTGGAAATCAAAAACACAGTCTGCATTCACTCTGCTCTGCGTTTCAGTGAGCATTGCAGTAACCAGTTGTCATTACCCAGGGGGGCGTTACACTGATCAAGCACACAGGCTTGCCAGCCAAACGAGATAATGCTGGAACCTAGTAAGTCACAAACATTCTAGTCCCAGTGATCCAGAGCACAATCGACTGAAATCATTAGACCTAATCATAGAATTTAATTGGAGACATAAGAGTAAATATAAATACTACAATGTAATTAACACCTTTATTTTAGCTAACAAAGTGTTTGAAACCGCAGACCTACCTGTGAGGTAGGTTCACCTACCCTATGTTTATTTACCACGCTGGTACTTCGTCTATTTGATACTGTCACAGGAAATCATTCAGCCTTTATCAGTTTAATGTCTGCGAATGGCTTTTGTAAGTCGGTTACTGTGAAAGAGCTCGGTTGCATTTTTCCTGTTGCAAAACATCTGACGATCACCTTCATTTCTAAACTTACAGCAGTGAGTGATGTGGGTGACTCTGTCATGAGATCGACCACAAACATTATCCCGGCAGTAGTCCTTCCTCTTTGCAATTTTTTTTAATTTCTTGAGAACATTGATGGCATATGATTGCATGTCTGTGAGTGCAACCAAGGTTCTTGGTAGCAAATTTACATCATATATTAGTCAGCTATAACCACAAATGTTAAATAAACTGCTGTGTTCCTTTTACCTCAAAGTTCAGATGTGGGAGCTGACAGTTGTTTTAGTAGTAGAGGTAGTTGGAAATGCAAGAACAAACAAGCTTTGCTTTGCTCCATAGCAAGGCAGAGCCTTTCATGCATCACTGGCAATACAGCAATGTTTTTATGGTTAAAAACACATTCACAAATAAAGCATGGTGATAAAATCTGGTCACTGCTCTGTATATGGCTTCTACAGCGAGTGCAAGTTTTACTCGTACGCATGTACACTGCCGCAGTCTTGGATTGCAAAGTCAGGTGGGTGGGGCTTCTCTGACTTGAGTATCAATGTAAATAGAACACAGCCTATGACTCATTCATGAAGTTAACTGTCCCTATTTCTCCTTCTCCGCCTGCCTTCATCACTAAAGAGACAAAAAGCTAAATTTGCAGTGCCAGTCGCAGGCAACTAGCAGCTAACAGCATTTTTTTAAGGTGGAAGTCAATCAACACAATTTAATTATCAATGTGACAGACACATTAGTGATGGTTGGATCACCTCAACATAAAAAGACAGATTATACAAACTGGTTTATTTAATTTAATCACTTAATAATGATGACATTAATCATCACTTAAGAGTATTTTGGTGAGCTTCTGTAGCTCTACGCTGTTTTTTCTGCCTCTTCAAAGCCCTCGTTGTAGGTTTACTGCTAAGGGGTAAAATCCTTTATGAACAACTCATCTATGACTACTCATATGCCAATCAGTGGCATCCTGCACTCTGACTAATGTTCACTTCAATCACTCACCTTAGTTGAGAAAAGTGAGCCCCCACACCCCACCCCAAAGTTATTTTGCATATCGTTGCTTAAAATTGCACATCTGTAGACTAGGAAACTGTCTGCCTGTCTGAATATGTGCTCTCATTCTAGCGTTGATTATTCTAACTAGATACTTCTATGAATGTATTCTTTTCCATTTCAGGACCATCATACCAAGAAAATTTTCTTCTGTTGTTTCCTTTGTTACATTTCTCAGAATGGCTTACAAAACCATGTGAGAATGTAACTGCAAATTCCCTGAAGCAGCACTGGGAAAATAGTATTCCTGTAACAAAAGCCACTTTCCCATGCTGTTTTTGAGCTTGAAGGCGGAAAAAGTAACCCTTTGTTAAAACTTCTTGTCAGTTGACAAACTGGTGGCTTTGATAGTATCTCTGAGTCCGCAACATGGGTAAGAAGAGGTACTTCTAGGTGGGGAGGGGGAGAGAGTCTGCATTATGCTACCACATCGTGGTAAAATTGCTGACATTTGAGATAAGCGTAAAGTCAATTTCTTTAAATGTCGCTGAGCAAAAATGGTCTCAGCATGAATTGCCACAAAGCCTGTGGTTGGCCACTAATGAGCACAAACAAAACGGTGGTTGAAACTGCAAGAAGCCGTGCAAATGGGTGCTAGCTTGGGCTGCTATTCATGTGTCGATGTAGCATTTGTTGCTTTTTTTGGGGGTTCTCATTTAAAAAATTTGCTCACACTTTGCCAAATTTAGTCAATACTGTTTATACAAACTGTAAGCATGCAACAGCCTGTGCCTCTGTCTGTAATCAAGTGTTGACAACACAGCAATCAGACTACATCCGAGCAGGACCAATATACAGTAGCAGCAAAGGAAAAGCAAATATTTCTTATCTGTTACTCTGTTATGTTTTCCAGTGACTCATTTAAGTCCTGGGTTGTATTCTATCGGGAGTTCTGCGAAATCTTCAAAAGCACTAGCCACTAAAAGCACATTTGATCAAACCTTATTATGGCTAAATTTCTACTCTGGCAAAATAAAAAGGCCAGTGTTATCATCTTATACATCCAGGTGGGATTTAGAGCTGAAAAATAACAGCGGTGAGAAATTGTCCGAAAGCTGACAGAGAAACACTTTGCCTGGTGTGTGAGTGAAGGGATAGGTACAACTGATAAGGGATTGGGAGAAGGATCATGACTCTGACTTCAGCATCTAAACACAACCTGCCTTACCCTGTCACGCTTTGTTCCCTTTCCACGGTCACTATGACAACCTGCTCTTTGGCCAGACCTTTTAAAATTGACTTCAATTTACGATAATGGAGCTGAAAGAAAGGGGAAAATAATTGATATACAAAGAAAGATATACGGCACAATATGTGTCTGCATAGGCTAAACAATGCTGCTTTAGTGCGACACGCTTCCCCCAACACCTCTCCCACCAGCTCGGCACGTGACTAATACATCCACTTCTCCTGCTTCTGCTCCGCGCTCTCCAGTGTGTGTTTTTGCAGGAATAGGAGACAAATCATGTGTGGGCTGCATCAGCAGCACCCCTGCTGGTTCGGGCTCCCCCATTCACCACATGACCGCTCTGCCCGTCACAGGCATTGGCCAGGTAGTGACACATAACCCAGAGCACACAGCAGACTACAGGGTTTACACGGTGCACACATTAAGCTGCCTTATTCTTTCCTTTTGCTTTAACTCGCTCACTGTTTGGGGTCGGAGACCTCACAATAAACTCAAAACCTCTTCATGTACGGTAGGAGCCTCTCTTGCAATGGCTTAAAGTCGTTAGACAAGGTCGGGGTTAATGATCGAATATCATTAAACTACATTAACATCCTAATTTAAGCCTCCAAATACGCCTCCACGCTTGGCATACAGAAGCAGTCTCAGAGCACACAGATGAGTCAAGAAAGTCACACCGAGATTTGTTCTGTTTAAATACAACACTATCAGAAGCAGTTTCTGTGGAGCATTAGCCCCAGGGCAGAGCAGCACACCTTGCGTCCTAGCCAATTTGAAAAAGTCTATTTGTCAACTCGCGGCACGAACTACACTTAATTCTCCACTGGATCATTGTTTATTTTATACCATAGTTTCTGCTTAAGCTATAGCACTCCTGTTAGAGGTGGAGTATTTGTTGGCTATAACTTCACTGATCTGTGCTCAGGCTCTCAGCAGCAGCACACAGGAAATTACCAGCCAGCGTCACCTTCCAGTTCATTATTTTTAGCCAAGTGCACTGACACAGCAACAGTTTATCTTCTCGACTCAGATGGGCAAAAATTCCCCAAAATGTGGTGTTTTTATTTCTACACCCACTAGCAGGGTGGTAGCCCATCTGAGCGCCGCTGATCACTGGGCCAAAGCTAATGTTTAAATGAGATGTGTACTTGGAGAGGGTTTAATGTCAGCCCTGATGCACGCCATCATCTATTTACTCTCTCCAGTTCAAATGGGTTCTCTCGTAGAGTGGTGCTGCGGAGAGGCTTGTTGTTTCGAGGGGATGACCCAAGAGAACCGCGGAGGTTCGTGGTGCCTGGGATATCGCCATGGCAACATGGTTCAATTAAGAGTGGGATGCCGGCTGTTGAAAACTGAGCGTGCCGAATATTATCTCTTGAAAATTTGCAGCAATTCAAGTCTACACAGAATTATATTTTAAAAATGACTGCCTCAGGTGTGCCAAGGTTTAGGGTTTCCCTATTTTTAGAGATCAATATAAAGTACACTGAGCATGCTTCTTATTCCAGTCTAGCAACAATTAAAAATACAAAACCTCAATGTCATCGACTAAATTGCTTGGAAACAAAGGAAAAACCCAAAACACTTGCCACAAAAATCTTAGACACACATACACTTGCAAGGCATTTATGCAGCTTTTTATCCAAAGAGATTCAACACTCACACTCACACACACACACACACATTCTCTAAACTGGTTGTCACTCCTGCTCAAAGCTCAGCGGCAGCAGTACATTAGCATGAGTGAAGGAGCCCAACAGCTTTTGTGCCACAGAGTCCAAAGTCCAGCAGATAACAGCCACCGCTCGCACACAAATAAAAGAAAACTAATATAAAGCTGCGATGAGCCCTCTTACCTTGCCGTCTGTGTTGGGCTCCTTCTTTCCTAGATGCTGTCCCATGCTGCTAACAGAGCCTGTAAGAAACACACACAATGAGTTTACACCAGGGGAAGACTGTAAACAGCATATTATGTGAAGATTACGAACTCCTCCTTATTGCAGCAAGAGAGGCAATCTCCAGATTCAGTGTGAAACTGTAGCTTCACATACAGCCATAAAAAAGGCACCGGGGCTTTCCCTCCCTTCCATCTCTTAATGGCAGCAATAGCATTTAAAATGCCACAGTTAGAATCAGAATACCTTCTTCTGGGATTAATAAAGTATGTGGTCACAGTTGCTCCACGACTACCAAAACAATAGCAAATAACAACAAATAGCTCTAATTATTAATATCCCAGTATATAACACAAAACTGAATATATACAGCTGAAATTGAGGCGCCCCTCTTATAAGGGTTATGATCCCTGAATCTGTATTTCAGAGGACACAAGAAAAAAAGCACAATACACTGTGTGCATAAAGTGAAAGCAGGCTTTTAATAATTTTCTTATTTTGGTTTAAAATATGATCGCCTAAATCATCTGAAGTCAAAACAAGGGTAGTTTGGAGATGTTGGAAAACTGCCTGTAAGTGAGAAAAATCCAAAAATACAGTAGATACTATTCAATTCATTGTCCTTCCTCTTAAGGGGAAGACGAACAGCCAAAAATGTATGGTAACAGGCAGGCAACAAATCTAGTTATTTCAAATGAAATGAGGTGCAACATTTAAAGCAATTCAAAAATGAACCACTGTAGACCTTGTTTGAGCTCAACCCTAGCCTCCTGTTTGTGTTTATAGTTCTGTGTTCCTTCATCCATTCATTTAAATATACTTTCTGCCTGCTGCTAGTAGCTACCTGTCCATTAATGTGATCTTTAAATATTAGATCGCTCTCCACAGTTGCTCCTTCCTGTTATTGCTTTGCTGCAGGGTCTCACATATTAGTCTCATCCTCACCATTATCATCTGACTAAAGGTTTTCTCGCAATGGGGGGGAAAAGGAAAGCATTGTAGGGCTTTCTTTTTCAGATAATCCGATAGGTTCCCAGATTCATGTGATTACAGACGACAATAGTTCAGTTAATTCTACAACACTCAAAAGTGAGACTGTATGCGTTTCCCATCACTGTGTTCTTGGCATCAGAAACACACGTGTGGAGTGATTTGAATAGAAACAGTTAGGGGATACCTTAACCGGAGATCAGATCTGTGCATTTGATTTTTGATGTTTTTGAGTGTGCATACAATATAAAAAAGTGACAGAGTCTACACCCCTCTGTTGTCCATGTGGATCTGGAAATCATGCATATCATTGTAACGGGTCAGCTAAAAGTAAGCCAAGTAAACATGTCTAGGCTAACCTTACTGTACTTTAGAAAAGACTAGTGAATCATCTGCCTCATCTCACCCTGCCCCGAGCATCCACACCAACCCTCTGCATGTCCTCCTCCATGACATCCACAAACCTCCTCTGTGATCTCTCTTTTCTTCCTGCTTGGCAGCTCTGTATTCAACATCAGAATATCCATCATCCCTCCTCTGCACATGTCCCAACCATCTCAGGCTTGTCTCTTTAAACTGGTCTCCAAGATGCTCAACCTGAATCTAATACATTATTTTTTATGAGACATGAGATATTGTAATACAGTAAGCATTAACAACAGTGCAGTGCTTTGTTTCAACAATTCTCCAAACCTCTGGCAGACTCGGCACAGGTGTGCACCTTTGTGTTATAAAGGAAAGGGTTCGTCTTTGAGAACGGATACAACACGTCTATTTATTTCCACAGAGAATGGAAGTGAAACCTGATCAAGAGGAATGAGGCGACACAATGTTTTGCTAAGTGTGCCAACATGTGCACTGCAGCGTGAATATTCATTTAAGCTTAAATCTTAAAAAGCCAAACATAAAAATCACAAGGAAGCCGTGTAAATAACAAACAAATGCAGGAAATAAAGAGCAAAAATAAACTTCTTTAGATTCTTTAAATGTTTAGGTGCAAAAAGGAGGAACGTGATGAGTAAATGAAGGCCAGAAATCGCAACAATTTAAATCTCTGCCTGACACTCACCACTGAAGGAAAAACCATCCAATTACACCAAAAGAATATTCTTACTTTCAGAAAATCACAGCATGTATTTGGCTTTTAGAGGAGATCTGCACCCATCAGAAAGCCTTTCATCACCTTTTATGGCCTGTCTTCACTTTTTCACATGGCGGGTGTGGAAAAGTGCTGTCAGCATTGTTCATGTGGAGGGAAAAAAGGAACGGTAGTGTGGTTTATTGATGGTCTATTGATAGTCAAGAAGGAGAGAATCAACATAAAAAACCAAAAAAAGTCCCAAAGGAATCTTCATTAATTCAAGATTACCATGTGTGTCAGCTGTATTATTTAAATTTCACACGTATTGACATGCTCACATTCTGTACTGAGAGGTCAATCAAGCAATTGAAGGGAAAAAAAAATGATTGAGCTTTTAAACAATAAAATACAAAACAAAAAACACAAAACAAATCAATACAGCACATTATACAAGCACATTTAAATGCCATGTTTGCTTTTTGCAACGGTCAATCCAGGTTAACTAAATATGAGTTTCCTCTGTGCCTGCACTGGAAAAAAAAATATCACCTATTGAAAGGTGTTATTATATTCACTGTCATCAGAAAAGAGAACGTCGATTTAATGCCAGTAGCAGCATCACAGTGGTTTGGCTTTTTATTTAGGAATGAGTGTAGTTAAATTGCAATAAGCTTAGAAAATGACTGGAAACCATAAATAATATAGCTCACAAATCTATACCCAGTGGAGCGAAATGAGCTTTTTCAATTGGAAAGTGTTTTGTAAACAGCTATTCTGTGAGCTTGAGTAAATTTCACCAAAAATTGCAATGTAAAAAGGGAGAAGGTGAAAAGTAAGTTTGCCCTGTGTAGTATTTGAAATCTTCTTGTGATCAGAACAACTTGTAAATACAACCTAAGCTTTAATAGTGAATGTTGATAAAATCATTTGTGTCTTTAGCGTTTAAATTACAAGCTATTTGCTAAAGCAGTATTAGCAAGAACTAGCTAACCTAGCTAGTTCCAACATCAAAACAAAACAGAACTATCTATACACTTTGTATGTTGAAATTTCACTTCAAGTATTCTGTGGGCTGTTAAAAATCCTCCCAATCATGTGGCTAATATAAGCTGAACACTAGAACCACCAGTGTGGTCATTTCGACCTCATCCTGCAACAACAGCAGCAAAGGCAAAAAAAAAAATTCTTAAAAGAATTAAGTTAATGTAATTAGTTCAACCATTTTTTTTTCTGATTATGAGTAACTGATATATTATTTCATAGGCAAAAATATTATCAAAGGATAGAACATCTAATTTAATATTACAGAAGAATATTATAGAAAAGTAAACAATCCGCTTCCTGTTTACTTGCTAACTGAAACTTAGCTCTAAGCCACAGCCCTTTTATGAAGAGAATTTCATTTGAAATACAAAGTGGTTGTTTAAATAAGTTCTAACCATCCAAATCAGTTTGTAAAAGTTGAAATTAAATTAAATTCATTTCTTGAAGCTATTTTTTTTAATAAGCCAAAAAGATAAAGCAGTTAGCCAAATCATGCTAACACAAGAATTCTAAAGTCAGAGCACCACTTTCATTTACCACATTTGTCACGTGGATAACACAAAAATGACAGTTTTAAATATGCCGTTAGAAATCTTTCCTACAACAACTACCGCACAAAAACTTAGAGGGAATGAATATAACATAAATAACATGCTAGTTGCACTAGAACCAATAAAAGACGACGAGGTGAACTGCACTTTCTGTCACACGATGTGCTTCTTACAGTGCACCTCTATGCCATGATAAACACCTATGGACAGTCTCTTTCTGACCATCATTAGCTCCAGCTAGACTTGAATTATAAAGTTTCTGTTTTTACAATGAATAAGCATTCACAACACATTCTTTGCTGAGAGCTATGTTACTTCTTGCCTGTTTAAACAAAACTGAAAGCTTTATTTAGCTAAAAATGACACGATATTTCTTGTAACAGTGAAAAGGAGGGTTTATACGAGTCTTGGACCAACATTGCACACACTTTCATGACTGTCAGAACTTAAGATTCCCTTTTCATAAAGGAAAAGCGGTAGGTTTTGTAACAGAAGTGCTGTTGGAATTGTATTTTCAGGACAATCTTTTCTGGGCTGCTTACTTTATTGGTTTCAAGTAACATAAAAGGCTCTCTTCCTTTACTAAGCAAGCACAGATACTGTAAAGCTGTTTATTATATTAACTGTAAGCACGTGTGCATGAAAGCAGTATTACCTTTGTGCAGCATTTCAAACCTCTAGGATTGTTCAGTCTCCGTGAGACTTCCTCAAACTGACTTTTACAAGATAGTAACTCACAGAAAAGATGGATTTAAGGAGTCAAGTAAACAACATGGCACATTTTTACCCCCACCCTTACCTGTATAGCATGTTAGTTCATCAAAACGTTCCCACCAAGTTTTCCCACAAAGGGAAGTAAGACGGTATCGTGAAACTTTACCTTATTGTTTTATTATTAATAATATTATTATTATTTATGACCAGAGGGATGTTTGTTTTTTGACCAAGCTGCTGGATATCTGAATTTCCCCTTGGGGATAACTAAAGTATTATCTCACTATCAATCATATCTGCTTGTGGATGAAAGCAGCCACAGAAAACTATAAAAATAAGCTGGAAGAAAAACATAATCCCACTGGTTAAACAAAGGGATATAATTAGAGTGCCAGTGGCTGTGCAATCAGTGTGGCGGAAAAATGTCCGCTGAGGACTCAAATATTTGCTGGATGTGGCGAGGCGTCGCTGGGATTCTCTGCGGCTAAATGTGAGGCCTTACAGCCTGTTCCCCTCTCAGCGTTACACAATCCAAAGCTGAGATCCTGCAAGGACTTGCAAGACAGGACTGTTGCATAATCGAGTGACAGAGGGAGAGGTGGAAGTGTGCATGTGGAAGGGCGTAACACAAGGCTGCAAT